ATGCTGCTGATGATGCTGCTGATGATGTTGGTGATGCTGCTGATGACGATGCTGATGACGATGATGCTGCTGATGATGACGATGATGAGGAGAATGATGATTCTTATGCTGCTGCTGATGATGGTTATGAAAATGCTAGTAAAGATGATGATGGTGATGCTGATGCCGCTGATTATGACGTTGATGCCGATGGTGATGATGCTGCCGATGCTCATAGTGTAGGTGTTGGTTTTGGTTGTGATGATGGGACAGCTCATGACGAAGCTGATGTCAATGATGCTGACGATTCTGATGGAAGTGGGTGATGCTAAGACATTCATGGTGATGTTGACTCTAATGACGATGGCCGTGGTAATGGCGACGCCGATGATTGATGGTGGCGGTGGCGATGCTGGTGATTGTGTCTGCGCCGGTTGGTGCTGGTAATGCCGATGACGATGCATGTTTTGGATGCTAGAGGTGGCGCTGACGATGAGGGGGGGGGGCCGCCAGAGGCGGAGGAGGCGGAGAAGGAACAGGAGGCCCTTCGAGAAAGAGGGCGCTGGGACGGGTGCACGGGGGAGGGCGGGCGGAGGCGGAGAAGGCGGAGGAGGACCAGGAGGCCATTCCAGGAAGAGGGCGCCGGGACGGGTGCGCCTTTTCTCTGCCCGCCGCGCCGCGTCCGCCGACGAGCGAAGCCTGCCGCCGCCCGGCGGCTCGGCGCGCGTGGCGTCCGCGCCCGCCGCCCCCGCCGAGGAGGGCGCGGAGGCGCCGCGCCGGGCGCCCAGGAGCAAGGTGTGACGCCAGGAGCAGCGCACGCGCAAAATGCGTCCGAGCCTTTCTCCCGTCTCGGCATCGCTCGGACGTGTGCGATCTCGTTCTCGGCGGGGACCATCAAGGAGCATCCCGGGGCATCCTGCGAGAAAAAAGGCACGCACGGCGCGGAGAATTGCACGGGGAAGGGACGTCCGAGCGATGGCGAGACGAGCAGCATGCATCCGAGCCTTTCTCCCTCCTGATGGCGGCTACCAAGGTCCAGGCCTCCCAGATGGGGTCGGCGTAGATGGGGTCGGAGCATCGCGCCGCATCGCCGACGTATCTCCCATGCGGCTTGGTGTGAAGTCCGATAATTGTGAAGATGATGATGATGATGATGATGATGATGATGATGATGATGATGATGATGATGATGATGATGATGCTGATGGTGATGCTGCTGATGATGATACTGGTGATGATGAGGATAAGGAAGAGTATGAGGAATATGATGATGATGACGATGATGATGACTATTAGGATGAGGATGATGGGGATGAGGATGAGGATGAGGATCAGGATGGTGATTACGATGATTACGATGATGATGATTCTCACGATGATGATGATGCTGATAATGATTGTGATACTGATGATGATGCTGCTGCTGACGATGATGATGATGATACTGATAATGATGATGGTGCTGCTGACGAGGAGGTGAAGGAGGAGGCGGAGGAGGAGGAGGAGAGCGGGTGGGGAATGAGGAACGGAGTGAGGGAGGGAGGGAGGACGGTACGAACAGTAGCAGAAAGAAGGGGCGGGCGTATGTGGGGGGAAGACTAGGATGATGATGATGATGAGGAAGACGAGGGCGAGGAGTAGCAGATGGAGGTTGAGGAGGAGGGAGGAGGAGGTGGACCAGGAGGATGAGGATGAGGAGGATCAATATGGGCTCGCGGCTGATGACGATGAATGGATGTTCAGCAACTTATTTGGCGCGCATGTGGGACAGGTGGTTGATGATGATGATGTTGATGCTGCTGATGATGATGTGTAGTTGATGATGGTGATGATGGTGATGTTGTTTGTTAATATCTTGATGTTGGTATTGTTTGTGATGATGCTGATGATGATGGTGATGATGCTGATGATGGTGATGATGATGGCAGTTCGGGTGTTGAATGTTGGATGATGGTGCTGGTGATAGCGGTTGTGGTGATGGTGGGGGTGCGGCTACAGTCAAGTTTGATTAGTAGGTCGACCTTGCCCAAACAAGGGTACCCTTGTGTCCTTTGTTTCGCGACCCATGCCCTCTATGTTCCACTGGCAATGTGGACATCGGAAGCGTCTCGTGTCCTCTCGCGTGTCCTCTCCAATCCACCCCGACCGTAATGATCATCACGATGGTGATCGTGATGGTGCTGCTATTGCTGTTGGTGCTGCTGCTGCTGATGATGAGGACGAGGACGAGGACGTCGAGCTTTTGCCCGCCTCCGTCTGCTCTATAGCTCCCCCCCGCCCCGCACTTCTGCCCATCCTTCGCCTCCTCTTTCTCCTGCCCCTCTCATCCTCTTCCTCTCTGGTTCTTGAGGTACTTCGCCCACGACTTCTGTCCGCACGCGATCTGAAACCACGGCCTCATGCGCCCTGCCCTGATGGGCACGGGCACCCCTGCGTGCCCGACTCCGGCGCCTTCGCTTCGCTTCTCCTGTCCCACCCAACCCTCTTAGAACGCGGCCCCCGCGCGAGCGCGAAATCCATTTCCAAACATTTCTGCTCGGACCGAATAGGGCAGTCGGAGAAAGACAGCTGGAAACGATATGCTCCACTTCTCGCATGGAAGATTCTGCACCGCTTCCCCTTCCGCCCCCCCCCCCTTCCCTCGGTCCCGGGCCGACAGCAGGCCCCAGTCTTCAGTCGGGCGTGCCCCTCTACAGGAGGAAGATTTCAAACATAATCAACAAAGAGTACGGGGACCATTGTTTGACAATTCCTGAGCATGTTTGGAGCATTTTTGGGGTATTTCTCTTTTTTCGTCGACAATCCGCCTGTATGGGGGACAGGCCCGACTTAAGCGTAGACTCTCTCCCCGCCTCCGAGGCCTCCACGGGCCGCCTCGAGGGCGCCCTGGGAGCCTCGAGGGGGTCTTCTCCTCCCCCCGGGGACTCCGAGCCCCCGTGAGGGGTTCGAGCGGTCGGCTTCGAAGGGCCTGTCCGAGGCCCTTCTCCCCGAGTCAAGGCAGCTTTTGGCCGGGAGCTGTCCTGTTTGAGCACGTCGGGGTCATGCCCCCGGGACTCTGTTTGTTTTTGGAACGTGTCTGGGTTCTGAGAACTTGTCGTGGTAATTAGCCCTATGGGAATGCCGGGACGGTCGGTCCCTGCTCAAATGAGACCACCGCGCGCGCGCGGAGAGGAAGCGGCAGGGAGGAGTGAGGGATGGGGGCGGCAGAGGAAGGAGAGGGAGCAGGGGGATAGCGATGATGGACGGAGAAGCCAAGGAGGAAGGGAGGGAGGATGAGATAGGGGGGGGCGGGGACGGTCAGTCGGAGCCAGACGCCAGCCATGACCAGAGATTCCAGATTCCCGCTGGTCGTTCTTTTTGTTGTTTCCTGGCGGGGTTTGGTTGCGTCCTCTCCTGCCTTCTTTCTTCCCGCCATCCTCCATGCATCTTCTCGACGACGACGACGATGGGCAGGGGGCAGGGAGACAGCTTAGTAGCGGTTGTTCCCCGAGAGTACGACCACAATCACACCAACGATTTGCGATGGATCTGGTTTGCAGCACATACTGAATGGTTGAGAAGGCATGAAGCCGCCGACGTTTCATTGCACTGAATCGTTGTTCTCAGCATCGAGGCTACTGCCTCCATCGAACGCACGCGGGCGCCCACGCCCGCGCGCGTGCGCGGATCCGTCGTACGTTCGCTCGCTCGCTCGCTCGGCCTCTCCTCCTTTCATCTCCTCGTCCTCGCTTGTCCTCGTCCTGCTCTCTCTCTTCTCTTCACCTCCATCTCCAGGGCCGCCCGGGCCCCCAGCGGGGCAGGCACCGGAGCCTGCCTGAGTCCAGCCCGAAGACCAAGCTGAACCCAGACCCGTGCATGCGCACATATGCGGTTGCGCCCTCCTGAGTGCCTGAATGATGGTGTCTACGTCACCACTAAGAGCCAGCGATTCTATGTGCCGCCAACCTATGCAGAAGGCGCAAGGAAAACTCGTCGGTTGGTGTATGTGTGTCTATATGTGTGTTCAAGTATATACGTGGCATAGCACTTACGTGCACTTCCATCTACCCGCACACTTAGACCTTGGGATGCAACTCCTGGGAGGTTTGATGCAGATCGGCGCTCAGCTATCTGTGGCCAGAACTGACCTGATCCGGCAGAGTTCCGCTTACTTTCGCTGACTCTGGCTTAATTGGACCCAATGTTGGGCTCAAGCGGGCTCAGTGGCCCCTCATTCGGGCTGAATAGGCTGTCGCTATTCTTACGAAAACGTCCCGGGAGTTGTTTCCGAACACCTGCGCGCACCTCCCCCCCACACACCGCAACCCAACCCTAACGCCAAGGGCCTAGAGACAGACCAAAATCCGATCCCCTGGCGATACTAATACTAGTGGCTGGGAGGAGGGAGGGGCGGTCACGTCACGATTCGCGCCTGCGCCGTCTGGGCAAGCTTCAGAAAGGCTAATTCCCAGACGGCGCCGGCGCGAATCGTAACGTGACCGTGGGGGGTGGGAGGGGGGCGTGACCGGTTACGGGCGTCATCGTGAATAGCACGCCAGGGAAGGGGTCTGATTTAAGGCGTGGGTCTGAATTGAGTTGTCTCGGAGGGTTCTTGGGGGGCGGCAAGAGGCCGTCTTTTCATGGCTGGTCTGGGGGCGTCGACGTGTGCTCGTCTGGGAGAGTAATGACCCCCCATGAATGATGAACTCCGGAGCAAAACAAAAACGGGCTCCAACCCCGACACCTACAGTGGAGACCCATGCCAAGAAACACCCTTTTTGCCTCCAGGGTGCCCTGGGTTTCTGGGGCCCTGATAGTTTTGCTATGCAAAGCGTGACGCTCCCACACCAAAAATCCATGCACGTCCCGGGGTCACCGGGTTGGGCTTCTGGTGGAAGGCCTCTTGCGGTGGAGCTCCTACTGCATGTGCACCTCAGCCCCAACCCGACCCAAGCCCAGAAATCTGGGCCCACGCTTCGCGAAGCCCAGGCCGCCCAGGTCCCAGGCCCAAGCCGGGCCCGCGCGCCTCGCCGCCCTGCCAGGCGCCGCGCTGCTGTGCCTGCAGCACCTCGGGGTGGCCGCCGCGCCTGTCGCCGCGGCAGAGGCCGCCGCGCTGCTGTGCCTGCAGCGCGTCGGGGTGGCCGCCGCGCCGGCCGCGCCGGCCGCAGCGGTGGAGGCCCGGGGGGTCAGGCAGTGGCGAGCTGGCTCGCCCATAGGCCCACCACAGAATCTCGGCACGAACGAAATGGGTACGGAAAGAGTGGGTACGATGCCCAACAGCAGTTCCTGATCACTGTGAACAGGACTCGCTGTCCGCGCCGCCGCGGCCTGTGCCCATTTGAGACAGAAGGCCGCCTGCCCAACAGGGGCCGCTGTTGGTTTGGGATAGCAGTTATTGCTGGGCATTGTGCCCTTTCTTCCGCACCCATTTCGGACGTTCAAAAATAATGTTTGAAGAGTTGTTCGTGGCTTGCAGGAAGTATTCTCAGAACATTTCTGGCTGAGGCTGTCCTGTTTGGGCACATCGGGATCATGTTGTAAGCACACCGCTGTTGTTCTGAGGATTTTTTTGGGTTGGAAGAACATGTCGTGGTAGGCCTGTACGAATGCCAGGACGGTCGGTCCCTGCTCAAGGGGGCGGAGGCGGACCTAGATCTTCGACGGTACGGTAGGTTCGCGTCGTGTCGTCCGGCGGCCTCCCCGCTGCGCTGGTGTTCATTGTTGAACACTGCTGGCGACTTCGAATCGGTCGATAAATGAACGATCTGACGTTTCGGGAGCGGCCGCTCGTGCCAGCCGGAACGATGCCCGCAGTGTCAGGGACCAGCGCTGGAAGTCGGCACGACACGAGCCAGCCGTTCGATGTTGTTTGTCCAACCCTCCGGTGTTGGGTTCTCGTTTTGCATGGAGCACTGTGGTCTCCACTGTTCTCCTCAGCCTCGACCCCCCCCTTCCTCCTCATTACCCTCCTCCTCTTCCTGATTCTCATCCCTCCTCCTTCCTCCCCCTCCTCCTCCTTCTCCTCACGGCTCCGTGGTGGGATCCAGACGAGACCTCGCGGCTCCCTGGGTGGGGTGCGAACTGCGCAACTGTTGCCTTTTTTCCGCGGGCTCCTGCGAGGCCCAATGGAGTGGGCTGGTACGCAGACCCAGCCGAGACCTCGCGGCTCCCTTGGGGACTACACTGCGTGTCCTTCATCGTGTTCGTTTGTATTGAGCGGTCCTTAGTATAGCCGCCTGATGTTTAGAAAAGGTTGGGTACGTCAGAGGATTATTTCAACGGGTGGTTTTTTAACGATTTCAGCCTCTGGTATTCACTTTCGGTACTCAGGATTAGCGATCAAATAAATCATCTGGGGCGAAAGCCTAGCCTTAGGGAAAGGGTCGGGACCTCTAGGGTTAAGTCGGGCGTGTCCTTTTAAAGTAGAAGTATTCAAACATTCATAGTCTGGGGACGTTTTTTATACAAGTATGTTTGAGCATTTTACATGTTTTGCCATGTTTTCACTTCTTGTCCAAAATCCGCCTGTAAGAGGACATGCCCGACCTAACTCTAGGGCCAAGGATTGAACACACATACCGGTGGGTGTCAGAGGACGGCGGACGTGATGGAGGCCGAATCGGAGGATCAGGACGAGCAAGAGGTGGGGGAGAGGATGGGTGAAGAGTGGGTCAGAGGAAGAACAAGTATCTCTACCTCTACACTTCGCCCGTGTTCCCCTTTTCGGGCCTCCTGGGAGGCCCTCGTCGCCACCGCTGCATTCGCCTCGAAATCCTAGTCAGAACGCACCCCGGGAGAGGTCTGGGGAGTGGCGGTATCGGTACCTTTCGGTCTCCCCAGTGAGGAGGAAGGGAAGGCGACAGAGGAGTGACGAGGATCGGGGAGGGTATTGGGATGAGGGCGGAGGAGGAGGATGATGGGTGGCAGGGAGCATGGAACATGGATGAGGGACGTGGGCGAACAGATGAGTGGAAGGGTTCAGAATGGAGAGAGGATGATGAGGAGAGTGTTTCACAATCAACCTCAGCTTGGCCCACTCTGCAGGGGGCCTGTCTCACTGCCCGTTCTTATGAAAACGTTCAATAACGTTTAATAAGAAGGGAGCACGGATGCTATTACAATTTGTATTCTCTTGCACAGGGTGTCTAGAGCTCCGACCACTTTAGTCCGCGTCGCACCCCCCCCCCGCGTCCCCAGCGCCAGAGTGGGACCCCCGCGCCGTGGCTCTCTGCCCCGAGCCCCCCCGCGTCCCCAGCGCCCCAGCGGGAGCTCCGCCCACTGCCCCCTCCGCCACGAACGCTTTATTCCGCGTCGCACCCCCCTTCCCGCGTCCCCGGCGCCAGAGTGGGACCCCCGCGCCGTGGCTCTCTGCCCCGAGCCCCCCCGCGCCCCCAGCGCCCCAGCGGGAGCCCCGCCGACTGCCCCCTCCGCCACGAACGCTTTATTCCGCGTCGCACACCCCCCCCCCCGCGTCCCCGGCGCCAGAGTGGGACCCCCGCGCCGTGGCTCTCTGCCCCGAGCCCCCCCGCGTCCCCAGCGCCCCAGCGGGAGCCCCGCCCACTGCCCCCTCCGCCACGACGCTTTATTCCGCGTCGCACACCCCCCCCCCGCGTCCCCGGCGCCAGAGTGGGACCCCCGCGCCGTGGCTCTCTGCCCCGAGCCCCCCCCGCGCCCCAGCGCCCCAGCGGGAGCCCCGCCCACTGCCCCCTCCGCCACGAACGCTTTATTCCGCATCGCGACGCACACCACCTCCCCCACCTCCCTCCCCGCGTCTCCAGCGCCCCAGTGGGGGCTCCGCCCCGTGCCCCCTCCGCCCCGACAATTTTATTCGCGTCGCGACGCACACCACCTCCCCCCCTTCCCCCCGTCCCCAGCGCCCCAGTTTGACCCCCGCCCCGGCCCTCTGCCCCCAGCCCCGCCCAGTGCCCCCTCCGCCCCGACCATTTTATTCAGCGTCGCGACGCACACCACCTCCCCCACCCTCCTCTCCGCGACCTCCGCCCCGTGTCCCCTCCACTCCGCGCACTTTGTTCTGCGTCGCGACGCACACCACCTCCCCCCCCTCTCCCCACCTGGGATTTGGGCCCCGTTGCTGGGCCCCGAAGGGCGATGTCCTGCACCCTCTTCCCCCCTCCTCCACCTCCTCCTCCTCCTCCTCCTGGTCCTCCTCCTCCTCCTCTCCTCCTCCTCCTCCTCCTCCCCCCCTTCCATTTTGTGCAAGAGCCATGGCACACGTGTCACTTGTTATGTTGTGGATGCTCGCCCTGGAGAAACTAGTTCCAGGCTGAAGTTGCCCGCGCTGGAGGGGACGGGCTTGCAAGGCTGAGACAACTTCACCACGCGGCCTTCTGAGCTGTAAAAGCAGCATCGGTGGCAGAAGGGTAGGGGAGGAGGAGCAGGAGGAGGAGGAGAGTCAGAGGAGGAGGAGGAGGAGGAGGAGGATAATCAAAGGGGGAGGAGAAGGAGGGGGATACTGAGGAAGGAGTGGGTGTGTCGAGGAGAATGAGGATGAGGAGGAGGCAGGAGAGGGATGACGACGAGGACGAGGAGGAGGAAGCGAGGATGATGAGGAGGAGGAGGAGGACGAGGAGGAGGATGAGGAGAAGGAGGAGGAGGAACGAAGGAGGAGGAAGAGGTGGAAGATCAGGAGGAGGTGGCGGAGGAGGAGGAGGAGGCGGATAATGGGGAGGATAATGTGGAGGGGGAGGAGGAGGAGGAGGAGGAGGAGGAGGAGGAGGAGGAGGAGGAGGAGGAGGAGCAGGGAGGAGGGGGGAGGAGGAGGAGGAGGAGGAGGAGGAGGAGGAGGACCTTGAAAAGGAGGAGAAGGCGGATGAGGATGAGGAGGAGGAGGAGGAGGAGAAGCAGGGAGCAGGAGGACGAGCGAGGATATGGATGATGATGCTGATGCTGCTGCTGATGAGGAGGAGGAGGAGGAGCTTAGAGGATGTAGGATTGATGATGCTGATGACGGTGATGCTGATGATGCTGATGATGATGATGGTGATGATGATGCTGATGATGGTGTTGCTGCTGATGATGATGACGATGACGATGACGATGATGATGATAATGGTGATGGTGATGATGATGATGATGATGATGATGATGATGATGATGATGATGATGATGATGATGATAAGTATACTGATGATGCTACTGATGATGACGCTGCTGATAATGATGCTGCTGATGCTGCTGCTGCGGCTGATGATGATGATGATCCTGATGATGTTGCTGCTGCTGATGATGATGATGATGATGCTGATGCTGATGCTGCTGCTGATGCTGATGCTGCTGATTATGCTGATGATGATGCTGATGATGATGATGATGGTGATGATGATGATGATGCTGATGCTGATGCTGATGATGCTGATGATGATGATGACGATGATGCTGATGATGATGATGATGATGATGATGATGATGATGATGATGATGAGGATGATGATGATGATGATGATGATGATGCTGATGCTGAGGAGGAGGAGGAGGAGGAGGAGGAGGAGGAGGAGCAGGTATGAGAAGGATGAGCGAGGATATGGAGGAGGAGGAGTAGGAGGAGGAGGAATGGAGGAGGATGGAGGATGGAGGATTGATGATGCTGATGATGATGATGATGCTGACGAGGAGGAGGAGGAGGAGGAAGGAGAGGAGGAGGAGGAGGAGGAGGAGGAGGAGGAGGAGGAGGGGATGGGGATGATCGGGAGGAAGTTGAGGCGGAGGAGGAGGATAACGAGGCGGAGGAGGGAGGAGGAGGAGGAGTAATAAGAAGAATCTGGAGGAAGAGGGAAGGGAGCGATGGGGAGAAGGAGGAGGGACCAGTGTAAACCCACGACTCATCAACGATGTTGGAAGGCACCTTCTTTCAAATGTCCAAGCTTCTTTTTCACAAGTGCCTGCGAGGATTCATGTCCACCGAGGGAAGCGCCCCGTTGAGGACAATCGCGTGAAACTCCTGGAGCGAGTGAAAACACCATTCTGAGGACTTCATCGCCACGGGCTAACCTGACTGCTGCGTCTTGACGATCTTGAATCGTGTCAGAACAACGTTCCTAGGGCGCGCCCTCACATAAACATAACATGCTGCGCCCTCACTCCTCCTGAATCGAGGCGAGAACCAACTGTTTGAAGGAACTGCCCTCAATCAGTGACACTTGCAAATGTGTGAAACGAAGGATCGCGGCGCACAGGAGAAACCCACACATTGAAAGGGAATCACCCTCAATCCGTGAGACGCTTCCACAGCTTTCAAATCGAATTTTCGCAGCGCTATGACACGAGCCACATTCTGAAAACGACCCGCCCTCAATACCGGAAGCTTCTGTTGCACATTTGGGAGTCACGTGAGTGCGCGGCACGGAGGCGAGAGCCACATATCGGCAGCGACCCGCCCTCGAGGAGGAGGAGGAGGAGGAGGAGGAGGAGGAGGAGGAGGAGGAGGAGGAGGAGAAGGGGGAAGAGCAGGAGGAGGAGGAGGAGGAGGAGGAGGAGGAGGAGGAGGGAGGAGGGGGAGAATGAACACAAATAAGGGGGAGCAGGAGGAGGAGGAGGAGGAGGAGGAGGAGGAGGAGGAGGAGTAGGAGGAGGACGACGACGACGACGAAGACGAGGACGAGGAGAGAGTAGGAAGGGGAGGAGGGGAGGAGGGGGAGGAGGAGAAGCCGCTCCTGCCCCGCCGTGCCCTTGCGGGAGAGCCGCCGGCTCCGCAGGCCGCGGGGGCGCCCCCGCGGGAGCCGCT